GATTAAGTATAACAAGCCACCGATTCATAACCAATATCATAAACTAATTCCAATCATCCTCATGTGTGAGTTCTCAAAGACAAGTGTAAACCAACTAGGTAATGACTCATAACTAACTAATGTTCACTAGATCACAAAAGGATGTCATGGAGATATCAAGTGCGCCTAAGTCGCAAATGTAACTAGTAAGTGCTAATCCCATGCAACTTCAAATCATTTTTATTCTCCATACATTTTACTGCATTTAGTTGAAACATGAAAATACTGCTCTTACCATCTTCATTTCTTGTTTCATGGTTAGTTGCTTATAATTCTACTATTCACTAGAAGGAGAGAATAAGCTACTAACCTATAACTACTCATGAAGCAACTCAAGCGAGAATCAGGCTAAAGAGTCTAATTCAACACAATGCTTTCGTGAGTGATGTGTCAAATTCTTAGTCATAACAACCAACTTGGCCTTGACCTTTTAATTACTATGTTGCAACTTTTATGCTTAGTGATAAACACCATTCAAAGGCGTTAGCTTGGCTAATGAATCATGCAAGGAAGCACATCTTCATGTCTCACACTCAAGTGTGGAAACTATAAGTGTCCATACTTAGACAAGTTGGTAGGGCCAGTAGATTTTTGCAACCACTAGGTTCTAATCTTCTTAATTAGTACTAATAAATTTTGCAGCTTCTAAATACTAATCTTTTAACTTCAAGTGACACTTCAACGCACACTATCATAATGTGTGAAATTTTGCTCCATCCACTCCCATCAGCTGGGTAGAGAGCAAAACACTGCTCATACTAGCTACTTGTCTTACATTTAATGACTAACTCATTTAAGCTCACATGTCTTGGATGACTTGACTCATAGATATTGCTCCATCCAATGATGCAACATTATTAAAAGTAAAATTATAAAATCAATCTGCGCAGCTCAATAATCAGGATCACATCTAGATCTATTAAGGGCTTATTAGTCTCACAACTCCAAACTCGCCAATCAAAACTGCTTAGAATGATACTAATCATTGTGCACACATCAGTTTTTATTGTGCCAATTAAGGCAACTAGGGCTCAACTAAGATTTGATCTAAAGTCTCCAAGACTTTTTGTGCATCTAAAGAAAGGATTATATTATTCACAATTGAACATCTCTACTAAGTCTAGATCAACCGAATTAAATTTCATAAACGAAGTCAATTAGAGGAAAAATGCGTATTGGGATTAATTTGATGAGCATATCACAATATAATTTTATCACAAAAATCTAAATTAAATAGTGACAATATTACATAAGTCATATGATCGAAAATCCGCTATGCTCGTAATCATTTCTTACACTATAAGTGACAATTATTCAAAATTTAATTTAATTCAATTCATGCACAAAATATTTGCTTGGTTACAGTTTTCCAAAAACACTTTTCAAAAAATTCTACTTTCTTGTCTTTCGTGTTTTTTTTGTTTTAACTATTTTTTTTTTTAATATTTTAAGCAATTTTTTTTTTAAACTTTTTAGACATACCTAACATAAATATACCTAAAAAGTAAAAAAATTGTGAAAAAAAAACTTTTAAAAATTCACTAAATACCAAAAAAAAAAAAAAACACGAGAATTCAGTACATTTTTTGTATTTTTATGTATTTATTAATTTTTTAAAATATTTTTTGACAAATTTTTTACTTTTTAGATACATCTAGGTAAGGTGCATCTAAAAAAGTAAAAAAAAAAATATTTAAAATTTTAAAAATATTCACTAAAAACAAAAAAATACGAAAACCAAAAAATTCAGTTTTCAAAAAACTTAATCAAAAAAACTCAAACCAAACACACTGATTAGTTTTCGGGAGTAAATCTATAAAGATTTCTCTCAACCGAACAACCTCCCACTAGCTATAGCATGTCTAAAGCATGGTAAATATTTAACTCCACATGATAACATCTCAATGTAATTCATAAAAGAAAATATGCTAGAATGTTTAATCATGGAATTGAAATTCACCAATATAAAGAAATCAAAATATTTAAAATAACAAAATACTATAAGTTTTAAGCATTTAAAAGAACTTAACATGTTGTGTACAATAATGCCATAACATATTTCTATAATTTCTGCAATTTTCTAAAATTATTTAGAATTACAAGTAATTAATAATTACATAGAAAATTAGAAATAAATATTACAGAATCTGAAAAAAAATACAACAATCATACCAGTAAATAAGCTTACATAACAATAGTCTATTGTAAAAATTTCAAGTCCAGAATCCACGTCATGCTCTCCCAAGAGCAATTTAACGTAAAAATATTGAATTATCCATTAATGAAAAATATTTATTTCTCAAAAAATTCTGGACATTTAACATATTGTAGGAAAATGAATTACAAGTCCAATGGTATAAGCCATGCTTCAATTAGAATTACAACAAATAATATAGAAGCAATTAACGTAGTTTTGAATTAAAAAACAAACAAACAGGGCCTTAAAACAGCTGCAGGCAACTGGGCCTTTTGCGGCTCAAGCAGCTCGGCTCAGCACGCGATGACATCAGCGCACATGTCATGATGATGTCAGCACACAAGTAAGCTCTCATGCTCAACTCTCATCCGAAATTAGGATTTGAGTTTTCTCCTCAACCGTAAATTGGAATCAGACCAATAATATATTGTTTCAAAAGTTTTAAAACAAGGATCTAAAATATAAAGTTTTCACAACATGAAAATGAAGTATGTAAAAACAACATGCAGTCAAAGTTATGAAAATCAAATATGAATCTTTATTTTTCTCAAAATTCACCGTCTAATTTTTGTAAAACTTTGCAGATATAATCTAAATTATATGAGCCACAGCATATATGAAATTCAAGTCGATCAGAGGTATTTTGAAAACCATCAATTTTCTTACTTGAAAAATATGTATAGATATTTTAAAATTACACACATGATTTAAGTTATATTTCATGCATAAAAAATACGAAAATATCCAATAATGACTCTGATATTAATATAAGAAAAATGAGAAATAATACACAACGGGAATAAATGGATTCATACATACTTTTTATGCTCAAACCAAATCTATGGATCATGTGGGTGAATCACATGTCTCCATTGATGTCTTTGAATAATTCCCAATAGTGGGGTAAAACTAGTAAGGAACTACCCACTCTTTACAATACAAATGCTATGTTCTGTGTTTCCATGGAAAGAGAAAAAAGAAAGAGAGACTAAGAGAAAGAGATTAGCGGATTACCCATATGGTTAAATTAATCTTACCCATATAATACATTTATTATAATGGGAGTGTTATAATCACCCACAATTCTATCTCCTTAAGAGATGAGGTAGTGGATTATATAATCTTATCCCTAGGATATGTTGATAAAAAATGAATCTCTCCTAATAAGGTCTCTCAATGGGTTATGGGTCATGCTACCATAGGCGACCCAATCAGGTATGAGTTCTAAACCCGACCCAATTTCCAACACTAACCTAACTCCGCCCACTTCCCCCCACTAGCTCTCTCTAACATCGGCTGCAACCACTGCGACCCCACTTTTGTCACCCCTCTCCAACCCAAGCCCACCATCATCATGCATTCCTCGCCTTCTTGAGTCGACTTGTTGTCTGCCTCATCAAATCCACCCCTTCCTTCTTACTCTTGGTTTTCTTTCTTCATTTTCTTCACTTGAGACCTATAAACCTTAAATCTAGGGTTTACAGATCATGACAAAAAATAAGAAGAAGAATAGGAACAACCGGGGGGAGGGGGGGGGAGAAGAAGTGGTGGTGATTAAGAAAGAAGAAGATGGAAAGAGATGGTTGTTGGAAAGAAGAAAAAAAGGGGAAGGAAGCATTGGCAAAAGGGGAGAAGGGCTGGGAGAGGGTCATCGGATGGGGAAGAAGGCTGGAGAAGGTCGCCGTAGGTAAGGGTGGGGCTGTCGGAGTCAGTTGGAGTAGTGTAGGGTCCAATGATAGAAAGTGGATTATGGTGGGTGTTAAAAAAAAATGAAAAAACAGAAAGGGGATTGAAAGAAATAATTTAGTGTGTAATAGCAGCTCCCTTATTTTAACACCAATATCACAATCCAAGACACAAAACAGTTATCTTTTTTTTTGGGGTATGGCAAATGAAAATATTTTTCTACATGTCTAAATATGAAGGGATTCTTTAAAGAGTAATGCTAGAGATCTCAAAAGTTCTAATAAAATTTTTATCAAATGTCTCACATGGGTCTGAAACCCACACTGTATGGATCCCATGTATGTCTTACATCTATGTAAAATATTTGATAAATTTTTTTAAAATCTACACTTTTATTCTTTAAAAGAGTGCCTCAATCAATAGACCAGCCAACCCCTTAGCCTGAATAGTGAGAGTAACGTGCACTACAAAACATGAAGACAATCTCTCCACGTAAAAGGTCACAGAATGACAAAAGGTTCTCTTTTTGTACCGAAAAAGAAAAGGTTGTCTTAATCGTGAAATAACACACAAAGGATAAGAACTCCTATTTTATTCCTCAAAAAAAAAATTTAATTAATCAATTAAAACTCCTATTTGGTTGTTGTGGTTTTTGATTTTTATTTATAAATAATAAAAAATAAAAATAAAAAAAACCCTCATCTTACAAATCATCTCAAATAACCACTTGTGATAAAATTCTAAAACTACCCACTTTCTTAAAGAAATATCAAAAACTATTTTTAAATTTTCAAAATCATATTTGTGTAAGTAAACACAAAAATAGAAATGAAAAAAAAAAAGAAAAAAAAAAAAAAGAAGAAGAAGCAGCCCCCGACACCACAACCAAAATCAACCTGTGATTTCATAGTACAATTCCTTGAAAGCATGTTTGGTACAATGGCTAGAATGAAATGCACATTACTTACCCAAAAAAGAAATGCACATTATAATTTTGCATTTCCTTTCTCTTATTTGATACGCCTTATGCAAGTGAAAATTGTTATTCCATTGAAATAGTCATTCCAACCCTCATACATCCACAGAACAACTTGTGAATTTACTTTTCCGTACCCAAAAAGACAATTACATGGACAGTCACAAGCACATACAACAACAGGATGCACATCAAGATGAATAATTGATTTATGAATTTTACAGCAAAAGGACTAGATGCTGCTATCAACAAAGAGCAAGCACCTGTTTGTGTAGACCATAAATTAACCATCCCAAAAAAAGAAAAAAGAAAAAGAAAAGACTGCTCATTTCCTTCCCTTCGTCCATACAACATCACCCTATAAACAAAATGTGTGAATTGATATTCTTATACTGCTCTCCCATTTAAGTTTCTTCCCACAAAACCCAAATTCAGGAGAACGGGACATTGAGGGTGATCTGAATCCATACGTAAAGAACGATGAAGCTCAACTTTCTCACTCAGCATTATTTCGTACTCTCTCTTGCACTTGGCGTCATGATCTCCACAAAATCTTTGTCATTTAGCAACATATTAGCCATCAATGGAATTTTTTTTAGCAAGCTGCAGAAGATTGCACATCATCTGAGTCTTCTCTCAGCTGAAAACAACAAAATAAGAATGATCATGAATTTCACATATGGCAACAGGTTTAAAAAACAGAAGCTGTAAAAAAGAGGATATAGCATATACTAGATTGAGATGGTTCCGCAGAGCCCCTCGTATCAAGTTTTTCAGCTTTTCACATTGATCGACCATGTGACCCATTCTGATTAATTCTTCAAGTTGGCACCACAAGCGCTCGATTGTCGTGTACGGGAACCAAGCCGCAGATGGCCTTTTTCGACGAATGATGTCAGTTGGTCTCTGCAGAAAATAGCAACTTCAGTGGATAGCCAGAAGATGTCAACAATGGTCGCACATGATAATTATCATGTTAAATGATCCAACTATGGTCAAACAATTACATCTCATTTGAACATCTCGGGAAATTGAATGGCTCTACAGAGAACATCGTTTTACATAATCTAGAATGCTACTAACGCAACACAAATAAGGCCATAAAATAAAATGAAAGCTTAGCTGTCACTATGAATTGCAATTGGTTTCAAATTTCATGAAAATGGCTCAACATTTTCTTCTCATTTGTGATGATGGCTGTCATGTACTATGGCTCCAATTCACAAAAACGGATTAGTAAATAAAACTGTACTTGAATGTGAGCAAACAATTTTAATAAAACATCCATAGATGTTATATGTTGTGCACATCCAATGTTAATTTCCCTTGGTCAATTCACAACTTTATAAAGGGTTCGATACAAGCTTAATCACAGCTTTCCCATCATGATGATGGATCAATTTATTCAAAGCAAGCAAGTTTTTTTTTCCAATGATACCAACTTAAAAGGAAAAAACTATTCCAGCTAAAGTATGGTTTGGTATATACTAGGTCCCTCTGGGGTACGCTAAAAATTAAGAAAAAATAAAATTGAGTACATGCTTTGTATACTTGATACACACATGCAAGTATTGTACAATACCCAATACATACCCAGTACGGGTATCACTTTTTCAGGGTACCCATGCTTCATAGGGGACAAGTTATTATTATACTTAATGAAATTTGTATTGCAGAAAAATAAATGTTTAGCGCTTCAATGGTGGTTGATTATTTCTTAACCACTAATAGTTGAGAACAAATTTCCTCCTTAAAATCTTGCACACGCAGACATGCGAACTTGACAGAGTCCTTCAGAGAATTCCCAAATTTTAGAAAGTATTTTCTCAAATTTGAACAATTTCATCTTATTCAGTGTTAACGTAATTATATCCGTCAATATAAACATCAACTTGAACACCAAGTCTCCGCCTGGAGAAATCTGAATTGATCCAGAAAGGTCAAATGCTTGGAACAATATACACCATATAACAATAATTATCACAATTGAAGTAAATTATCAAATAATAACAACAAATGATAATTATAATTCACTGCTGGAAATTTGTGTTCACGTATATAATATGATAGTGGTGTTGGTGGAAGATAGTGGCATGTATATCATATGATAGTGGTGTTGGTGGAACATAGTAACATGTATAGAATATGATAGTGGTGTTGATGGAAGATAGTGGCATATATATAATATGATAGTGGTAGATAGTGGTAATATATAATATGTAAGTGGCATATAATGAGTTATAATGATGTTTGTAACATCTCCTATATAAGGAGTGTCATTTGGTCTTGTAAGATAAGAAGTTTTGAATATAACAGAAATATATTCCTTCTTCCCCATATTTTCGGAGTTCTTCTTCCTCATATTTTCTAAATTGGTATCAAAGCAACAAAAAACACAGCAGCCCTAAAACCGTCATAGCCATGTCGGAAGTCACGTCCGAAACCACTTCAACCCCTGCCGCTGCCATTCCAGTGAAAATGTCCAACTCTCACTCTGTCCAAATCACCACCATCCGCCAAAATGGCGATAATTTTCTCCGCTGGTCACAATCTGTCCGGATGTATATCCGTGGGCAAGGAAAGATCAGTTACATCACTGGTGACAAGAAGGTCATAGCCATGTCGGAAGTCACGTCCGAAACCACTTCAACCCCTGCCGCTGCCATTCCAGTGAAAACGTCCAACTCTCACTCTGTCCAAATCACCACCATCCGCCAAAATGGCGATAATTTTCTCCGCTGGTCACAATCTGTCCGGATGTATATCCGTGGGCAAGGAAAGATCAGTTACATCACTGGTGACAAGAAGGTCATAGCCATGTCGGAAGTCACGTCCCAAACCACTTCAACCCCTGCCGCTGCCATTCCGGTGAAAACGTCAAACTCTCCCTCTGTCCAAATCACCACCATCCGCCTAAATGGTGATAATTTTCTCCGCTGGTCACAATCTGTCCAGATGTATATCCGTGGGCAAGGAAAGATCAGTTACATCACTGGTGACAAGAAGGCTCCTCCACTGCAACATATGGAGGACCTCCAAATCGGAACATCACGGTAGCCTTCCGCTTCAGCTCCTTGTTTTCTGCCCTTAGCAAGCTTATCTCTGCTCGCGCATCCTTATACATGCGTTGGAGCAGAGCCAGCTGGGAGTTTAAATGCTGCACCTCATTTGTCCTACTCTGCAGCCGGTGCGACAAGTTTGTAACCG